GGAAAAAATGAGCAGCTGATGCCAGGGGCTTAAGAGAGCAAATGTCTTGAGAATGATGAGGGCAATGAATGTACAAATGTGCTTGACACAAATGATGTATGTATGGATTGTGCTAAGAGTTGTATGAGCCCCTAATAAATCGATTAAAAAAAAATAACTGTATTTGGAGAAAAGAATACATGATATTATAAAACAAAAGTGCTCTATTATTGAACATAAAAAAATTAAAACTAAAAGATAAGGATTTAGGAAACTGTGAGAATAATAATCAGGAATAGTTATTGCTAGATAATTTATTATTGGTTCATAATCTCTTATGCATAAATTTTAATTTCATTAAGCTCTGCAAATCAAAAACTTCTCCCTAACTTATTTGACAGCAAAGCTTGAACTAAACTGATATGTTTTTTATTTATTCTACTTAGAATAAACATTCACATATTTTGCTTCAAAATATTAATGTGTTTGAGTATAAGTAATGATACCAGATTTTACTGGGCTATTATATAAAAGATGGTATAATTTCTATCTAGAATGAAAAATGTAGAATTTAATAATAAGTTGCATATATTAATTACTCTATATTATACATTTTAACAAGTTTAAAAGAAAGGAAAACATTAAAACTTAAACAGAAAAATATAATTATTGATTTTTCACATCATATACTATTTAGGTTATACATTTTCGTTTGCCATAGGGCTATAAAAACTAATATAGCAGAGTATATATATATATATACATATATATATTTAAAACAGAATAATCTCTTGATACTTTTCCAGTTCTTAAAAAAATTGAAATATTAAATTTTAATATAAATTTTAATGTATTATATCTCCAGAATCAACTAATGCTTTCAATGGTATAGCTGCATAGTGAACTATGTAACAATTATGTTATGCTTCATGATTATATTTAATGACGAGAAACAGTTCACAAATAATAAATTAAAAAATCAGAGTAAGAAATGTTATACATAGTATAATTCTTAAATTTCCTTTAAGATGATGAGTATGTATGCTATATAGTACTGTATGTCTATGTGACTGTGCTTTCTCTCTCACACACACATAATTGTCAAAATGTTAGCTCTGGGTAGTAATAATACCAGTGATTAATTTTCTTCTTTATATTGTTGTTTAATTGCTAATCAGAAATACTGAATATGTATTGCTTTGGTTTGTTTTAAAATTACAAAAGTAATAAATATTAAAATAGAAATATAATAAAGTAGTATATATATTATTTTTATATATTAGTGTTTCATATACTGTTTATATATTGTTTCATATATTACTTTGCTTCCGCTAAAGTATATTTATAATTCAATCATGATGAGACTTTTTTAAAGCCCATCAAAAGATATTCATATGGTAATACGAGCAATGATATAGTAAACAAATACTTGCTGCTATGCAAAATTGGTACTGCCTTTTTTTAGAAAGCAAGAATGTGTTTAAGCATTTCAATCTCATTGTTGTTCTAAACAAATAACCTAACATAAAAAAGCTAACACCATAAAAGATGTTTATTTTAGGCTCCTAATAGCAATTAAGTATAAAGTTATGTACAATTAGAAATAGAGGTAAACAATAACCAAACCCACTGATTTCTGGTTGACCGAGTTGAATGAACTGAACACTCCCTTTGAAACACTTTCTCCAAAATAAGACTACAACGATTAAGAAAACAACAACAAACACAAAATGAACTGGAGAGGGGATATCAAGGAAAGCTAGAATTCAAAACACTTTAGCAGCTGCAAAGTACACTTAGATGAACCATGAATGCAGAGGGGAGGAAGAATAAGAAAGAAACCAAAAACCAAAATATTTTCATATCAGAGAGATCAGGAACAGGGAAGGGTAGCAGGGTAGAAGCAAGATTGTTTAAACATTTGCTGTTAAGGAATTCCAGATCTCTACCCCAACCCAATATAGTTAAGTCACTACTTTTCTACAACCATGGTTGAGTCTAGGGATAAACGTTCTGAATGAGCTGGAAGAATTCAGACGTGAGTACATGGGCTGAGGCGGGAGAGATAATGGAAGTTACTGAAAACACATTAAGTAAGTAAAAGCCTACCTGTTACAACAAGGAGAAAACCCCAGTTACCTTTCTCCACTCTGCTCTGAGAATACTTGCAGATGTTTATATGCTTTAGAAAACTAACCTGCCTAAAAGAATGCACTAACGACACTAATCAAACAACTACTTTCATGAAAATCAGAATCCCGTTATAACCATCAATTCCACACTCAGGGAAGCACCGAGCCCCATCAGAAAAGCTCCAATGTGCTTGTGCGCCTTACTAGGAAAAAGGACTCAGAAGCAGAGACAGTGTAGGAGAAGAAATCGTTAAAAGAAACGAGGCTATACCTATGAAACAAGAACAAGATGCTATTTAAAGGAGCATTAAGAATATTAAAACGTGCCTGTAAAAATTAGAAATAAAATACCAGAAATAAAAGTATGAATTGGAAAGTACTCAGATGAATTTCCTAAAAAGCAAAACTAATGGACAAAGAGAAAATGGAAGGGAAAAAGGATAAGGAAAGTAGGAAGTCAGGCTGAGAGGACCAATTTCCAAGTACACACTTTTCAGAAAAGAAGAACAAACAAATGGAAAAACAAAGGAAATACAAGAAAATTTCCCCAATTTTGGGAAATGTATCTACAAAATAAAATGGTTCATCAAATATTAAACTCAATAATGAAGTACTAATGCCTACATTAGTCATATCCTAATGAAA